AACAAGAAACTGCCTAGAAAAGCTATCGGGAAGAATTTACTCATGGAGTTCTTGGCTAATTGATTTCTTAGCAAAATGAGTTAAAGGTTCAAATGCATAATAGGCAATGGAAACTCAAATTTAGGCAATATGGACCAGAGGAATACAATGGCTCCAAATTCCCGTTTGAAATAACAGGAGCCTTTAGAACTATACGGAGGACTTTGTTTCTCAACCCCAGTTTCTTGGGAAGATAGGACAAGCCTCTCCATTTTGGTCTCCAGCATATCAAGATTGAAGAGGCTTTTTTGGTTTTCTTTAGCCTTAACCCCATGGAAAAATAAAGCAGCTTGACTCGAGAAGCAGCATAACTGCATCCTTGTGGTGGTGTGCTCCCCATTGAGTGGTGATTTCCCCCATGGCAGTGCTGTGCTGCAGGGGATATTTGCATCCTGGGAAAACTGGCCCTACCAGGAAGGCTCTGCAGGAATCCCTGAGCTGCTCTGGCAGCCAGGCCATTCACGTGGGGCTGCAATTAAACTAATAAGACTTGGCTGACCTAAATGGCTTCGCCCAGAGCCACTGCAGGGATGTTTGTACCTTTGGCATGGTTCACCCACAAACCTGTGTAATCCACCTGCAGACAATGGCCCATGCCTGCTGTAATTGAGCACTCGAAGGCCTCTGCAGCCAGTTCTTTCCAAGATGTGTAAGCTGTTTCTCTCTGTTTCGTCTCCACCCTTATCTGCTATAGTCACACATGTAAATTTATATGAATATTTGTGTACCTATATATTAATGTTTTGCTTGGGAATGGAGTCTGTAAGTGAAGCAAGAGAGGAACTCTTTGAAGATGTAAGCAACAGTTAACATTGTCTGGGTAAACCTGCTTAGCCATTTTACCTGTGAGACGAGCAGTAACCTCCTTAGCTGGATGTCCTGCTTCTTCTCAAGCAGTTCTGCTTCAAAAGCGAAACCAAGCACAGGCCTGGCCCTGCAGGGCTCAGTGCAGTGTTGTTCTGTGGCTCAGGGTGGGGAGCCCTGCTGCGCTGCTCTGCTGCAGGCACTGCAGATGCAGCAATTCCTGCTCTCCTGGGAGCAGCCAGCCAGCCCAACAGCAGAGACCTTTGCAATGCTGAGGATTCAGATGAAACCACTATGTTCACAAAAACCAAAAAAGCAATCAACACCAGGAAAGGCAAGATTCAAGAAAGTGAATACAGTGGATGAGGCCACTGGGCAGCAGAGTCCAGCTGCTTCAAGACCTTCTGGCTGTGTCACCTCAAAGGACCTCAGTGAATTCCCCTTTTCCAGTCTCCCCTTGGTGCACTATGGGCTCAGGAAGTGCTGATGCCTTGTCCTCCCTTACCCAATGGTGTGGCTGTGATACTTCTCTGGTTTTGATTTCATCCTTACATGAACCTTTCTACAACCAACCTAAAGCTGTTTATTCAGCATTTACTATTTTGTTGGTTGTTTGTGAAGTCCTTATGTTGATCTGTCCAGTGTTTCCCAGTGCTGTTTGTTACCTCTGCTCTTGCTGAGCTCTGTGTGAGGGGGTGTCTTCTCTGTCAGACCTGTGTTCAGAGCTGAAGGGCTTGCTTCTGCGTGTTCAAAAGCTACAGTGCAGGATAGGTGCTGTATGAGGTGTAAAGAACTGAGAAAGGATGGGCCCACTTACACTTTTCTGTGGGTGCTCAAAGGGCCTTTTAGACACACCACTGTCTTCAGTTTCCAGCAGCCTTGACTTGAGAATTTGACCTGCATAAATTGCAAAAGATATATGTATTACTTCATGTAGTACCCTGTTCTGTATTTTTGGTTTTTTGTAATTTTTGTTCTGTATTTTCTGCAATGTGTAAAGACTGCTGCAAAGATGAAGAAATATTCCATGAGGGTGATCCTGCCTATCTGTGTTTTGCACATGAGAGTCAATTAGCTACTGGCTATTTGCTTCCTTAGCACACTGAATCTATCCCCCCTAAGCAAATTGGACATCTATTTTATATTCTCCCACAGAGTTCAGCTGCTGTTCTCTACCAGGTGTGGTTTTGTGTTGCTGCCAGATATGGACGGTTCTGGAGGGAGAATGTGGGAATGTGTAGCTGCAAAGCTGGCTGTGAAGGCAGCATTCCCCAGCACGCCTTCTGTCTGCACAGTGGGAAAACCTACTGAAGAAATGGGTTTTGAAGAGCTGAGCCAAGGAGGAAGTGTAATTTTCCCCTGGAGTTCTCCTAGGTATTCCTAATGCTTTTCCCAGCTAGAGCTGAGATTTTTAACAGCTGAGAAAGTTTACCAACATTTTGAGGTTGGTATGTTTGATGCCTGTAAAGTTCTTTGCAATTCAGACACCTCACTCTGGTTATCTGGCTCTCCAGGCTGGTGTCCAGTGCTGAAATGCACAAATTGTTTTGGTGTGGTGTCACCATGCTCTGTGGTGACAGGATGTTGAATTCATCGCAGGCTAAGCCCATATACAGTTTGCTTCTACACAAACACATTTTTCTCTGAAAAATGCAAACTTTTATGGAGAAACCTGGGTTCACACAGTCTGTAGGAAGTTTGGGGACATCCTGAATAAATGGTTCCCAAGGCCTGGGGGTTCAGCAGAGCCACCCTGTCCCGTGGCACAGGGCTGTGTCACCCAGAGGAGCTGTAGCACGTTTACTGGGCAGTCTGCAAAGCTTTTTCTGGCAGGTGTGGATGTGAGCTTCAGCCAGCTCTGTCACCAGGAGCCATCACCAACCCCCATGGTCCAGGTGCTTCTGCTGGAGCACTAAAGGCAAAGGAAGCTGTCCCAGAGGATCCACAGCCCTGCAGGGGAACAGGGTTGGTAGCAAATTCCCACTCCAAACAGCCTCGGTGGGGACAGGCCCCTGAGAGCTGCAGACACTCGAGATCTGGCAGGCAATTCAAAAACTGCTGCATCCTGCTTGTCAGGCTCTTAAAACAGGATTTGAAGGATCTATAAACCCTCTGTATCTCCATTTAGTGGAGATGTGCCAGTGGTTTTTGTCCAGGTATTGTCTGGAAGAAGAGCTAGAAGAAGGAATGGAGAGCAGCCTGGAAGTGGTGTCAAAACTGCAGTTTCGAGAGGCCCAGGAGCTACACCAGAAAGAAAATACTGTTGATTATTGTCAAACTGAACTCTAGTAAAAACCTGGATGTTCTTTTCAGTGCTAGTGAAGCCATACGTCCACTTCTTTTGGTTGCAGTTCTTCAGTATGTCAGGTTTTTGATTTTTAGGAAAATTTTTATGCTGTGGGTTTTACTATGAAAAGCTGAAATCGAGCAGTGCACAGTGCAGGAGAAGAATGCATTTTTCATAAGATGGTTTTCCTTTCTCTTTGGGGAAAAAGGGAAGTGTTTTCCTCCTTTCTATATGAGATATATAAATTCTATATATTATATATATTTTTCTATAAGTGATTAGAAAGTTTGCATCCACTTACTATCAATTACACATATATTTTTAATCAACTTTCTCCTCAAACCAAATTGGACGTGCATGTGCCAGGATGAGTCAAATCTGAGGAAACAGTATCCTCTCCTTCCCTGTTGTAGTCAGATCCAAAGAAACATTGAGGGGAATGGTAAAGTCCAAATCAAGAAAAGATGTCACATTTCCTTCCAGTGCCTGAAGGGGGCCTACAAGAAAGATGGAGAGATACTTTTTACAAGGGCTTGGAGGGATTGGACATGGAGGAATGCCTTCAAACTGAGGGACGGTACATCTAGATGGGATATTGGGAAGAAATTCCTCCCCATGAGGGTGGGCAGGCCCTGGCACAGGATGCCCAGAGCAGCTGGGGCTGCCCCTGGATCCCTGGCAGTGCCCAAGGCCAGGCTGGACAGGGCTGGGAGCACCTGGGACAGTGGGAGGTGTCCCTGCCATGGCAGGGGTGGGATGAAATTCAAGGTCCTGTCTTACCCAATCCATTCTATGACTCCATGGCTGTGATTCAGAAAATATCCCTCAGATACCAAAATTGTAGAATGAGTTTAACAGAGAAATTGCATCAGAATTAAAGATACCTTCAAAATAAAATGACTGATTAATTTTTGATTTGATAGACAGTTCTTGCAGAAAATAGGCCAGGCCTTTGGGCTGTGCTTGAAGAGAAGCTTTATAATACTTGGGACAGACACTTAAATTGTATGCTTTTTCCCTAGTTTCCTAAGGTGGCATTTCCTGTGCACTGTTCTGATTATCTCAAGGGGCATTTCATTCACATTTCCTTCTTCTGTGCTTACACAGAGTTTGTTTGACTTCAGAGCTTGTGTTTGGGATGTTGGTTGTTACCAGCTAAGAATGAGCAATGTGTATTGGAGGGTGGTGCAGCTCATATTTCTGTATGAGGTAGAGTTATCTAGAAACAGTATTTGTGTGTTGAATTGTCACATCAACATGCTGCTGTCCATTTTGCTGCTAAATTCACTGATCATATATGTAGATTCTACATTCAAGCATAATCTTTAAAATTACATTAAGAACACAGCACAAAATCCGCCTAGCACAAAAATCCTTACCTGAAGTACCTTCCTTAATAATTCAAAGCAAAAAGATGATTTCTTTTCTAAGGTGAAGTCTCAGAATAATAATACACACACACACACGCACACACACACACACACACACGCAATGGAATTACAATCTGTAAATAGAATCAAATAAATGCAAAAGATCAAAAACTGAAAAATAAGGATACATACATAAAAAGTAGATCAGACTTGCCACATCCCCACAATACCAAGCTGTAGAGAGGAATCCTGAACGGAGAAGTTTGGCACTAATACTCTGTTGAATTCTGAGGCACTTTTCTCCATTTTACCCGTTTTGGTTCGGTGCCAGGAGTCAGCATTTCCCAAGCACACGATCAGGATCTGTGAACAGGTTATCAGTTCTTTGGGCAGTCCCACAGCCAGATGCCACCTCAGCAAGGGTGTGATCCTTGCTTGGCTTGTGCTGACAGGTTTTCTGTGTGCAGGGCTCACTCAGTTCTGGTCTCTCCTCCTTCCAGGATGGCTCGCTCTCTGTATGAGTGGCTGTGGCAGCACAAGTTCTGGCTGCCCCCAGGAATCACCTGGGAGGACATGCAAGAGTCTGAAGACACTCATTACCCTCAGCCTCGTGATCTCCTGCTCAGCATCCCTTTTGCTTTAATCTTGGTAGTCGTTCGGTGTGCCTTTGAAAGGTAAGTTATTTAATACTGTTCGTGGTTTCTTAGGTACAATGGGAGCAGTTTGGGTCCAAAAGCTGGCTTTATTGTCTGTGCCAGGGCATGACTGAAGAGATCGCAGAGACTCCATGTCACAGTCTGCTGGCATTTTTCAGCTCCTTCCTTTCAGCCCTGTGCACTGGCTAAAGAAGTGCGTTGAATGTAGAGCACAAAGCCTGTCCTTAGGGTCAATTTGCAAGCACCGTGACTTTGTACACATTAAACAGATCACTGTAGGTGAGGTTTGTGTGTGTGTTTTGCTGGTTTGTGTGTGTTGCATGTTACTTGCTGTTTCTGGGTTGAGTGTGGCAGAAATCATGTTGACACTCCATCATGCAATGAGGTCTCCTTTATCCTGGGTGATGGGGCTCTGGATATTGCACTGCCAGACACACCTGAGCAAGGTGCCTCAGGCTGGGCTGATTGCTGTGCCCCAGCAGGGTGGGTGGCACTGACCCCCGTGGGCTGCAGGGCACTGCTCTCTCTGCACGGACAGATGTTTGCAGCTGCTGCCTCTGACCTGGAGCTGACAAACCCTTCAGTGCTGGGCTGCCAGGATCCCTGCTCCTCTCATTCTGCTCCCAAATCTGCTTTTGGGGCTGCTTTTTGCAGACTCTGTGATATCATCCTCCAGTGCTGGCACGAGAAGTTACTGTGACTCAAGAATCTTTCTGGCCAGAACCATTTGAATGTTTGTCACATTACACTTCAGCACAGAAAATTTGGGCCTTATGACAAAAGTATAGCAAGAAATCCTGCAGGTGTCACTAACTCTGAGCTTAATGATTAAAGTCCTGAACTGGTGCCATTGCTTCATGCAGTTTGGTCAGTAGTTAATGTGATTGGTGACACATGATTTGGTGGTGGAAAACAGATTTACTACAGCATTAACTGTTGATAAGACTGCAGAGCAAGTCCCCTTCATGATTTTGAATACGCTTTAAAGTGGTTTTCAGTATATTCAAAACACAGTATTCTTAGTAGCTCTCTGAAGAGGTAATAATTTGAAATCTTCAGTGGTTTTAAGTTTAGAAAGAGAGGAAAATGACAATTTAAAAAATGTTTTATCATTCTCTTTTGAAAAGTAAAGTGGGTGCACAACAAAATGGAAATGGACTTTTCTGTAGACTAGAAGGATGTTTCTTCTGCAGATTCTCTGTGACACAAGGGTAGCTTGGAAAAACCTATAGAAGTTGAAATGATTCAGAGCTCTCCTGTAAGAATGCTTTTATCTAAAAATACTGGCTGTAAGTTGGGGTATTTTATTAAAACTAAATGTGTGAATAATTACTGAAATAATCATTTTTAGAATGATACAAGATTGGAATTAAAATATCTTCTTTGTAAACAATATGTTCAGTGTGCATTCCATAAATTCCATGGATTTTGTCCTACACTTTCCTGGGTACAGGGCATCTTGGTTACCTCTATTCATGTGGAAACCAAGGTGCTCTAGGTAGACTTTAAAACACAAGTGAGTCACATTTCTTTCCTGCTGGTGCAGAGACCTGGCTGGATTCCTGTTCCTGCTGGTGGGTGACACAGATGTGCTTCTGATGTGGAGCTGGAAATGGGGCCCTTGTGCCACTGGTGGCCCTTGGCCAGTTTATGGCTCCCCATGCAAGACGTGGCCAGGAAGGAGGAGCCCAACTCTTCCCTGTGGTGGCTCCTGACAGGACGTGAAGTAGTGGGCACGAGCAGAAATGCAGGATGCTCCATCTGCACACACAAAAACTCTCTTCTTACTGGTGATCAAACATTGGAACAGCTTCCCCAGAGAGGGAAGGAGTCTGCACGGGCAGAGATCCGCAACACACGGCCCAGGCAGCTGCAGGAGCAGCAGAGCTGGGCTGGGCCATCTCCAGAGCCCCTTGCAGCGTCTCTGGTTCTGTGCTTCTGCCACTCTGTCCCTTTATTTGCCTACCTCCTGCCACACCACTCCCAGTCAATCTAAATATCTTTTTCATCTGCTTTTAGATGCCGATGGCCAAGTAAAAAGATTTCTTCTTTCCCATCCGAGTGCTGCCTCAGCTGGGAGTGTTTCCACAAGCCTGGTCCTACTCATTAATTTTAAAGCTGTTTTGATTCACAAACTTCATTAAATTGAAGCTGCATGTCACACCCTTGAAAAAGATAACATCACAAGCCCATTTTACAGGTCCAGGAAACCTATAATCATAGCACTATTTTACCTATGCAAATTACAAGCCAGTGTTCTGAGCTGTATTCTTGTTTGTCCTAACTCTGCAGTAATTTATTTCAGCATGACTTTTTCTCATTCTGAATCATTACTGTTTCACATCCAGTTCATCCTGGAGAAGAAATCTTCCCCTGGGAAGGTGAGGTGTGAATCCAGCCCTCAGTTTCTCCATTGCCTTATCTGTATCTTTAAACAGTGGCACTGGCCCTGTTTAAAATAATTTACACCAAATTTGAGAACTGCAGAAGGAAATGTTTATTTCTCATTTTCTGTGTAGATAACCCTGACTGTATATCTTTGGACACCTAGTCTGCAGATTGAAATGAGTGACTGTAACTAGAGACAGGTTTGGGGTTAGTGGCTGTAGCTTGCCCTGTGGCAACTTATTCTACCTTCAGCCACCACCAGCTATTACCTGCAACTCTGCATTGGGTGCCAAGTTTTTCTCTCTCTAGATAGTTCCTGGTGGTGTCTGCTTTGGGATTTCAGATATGTTATAATGTGATTCATGTGATTTAACTGTCAGAACTCCAGGTAAAAAATTAGGGGCAGGGGAAGTCTGGAGGATTTTCTGCAGTGTGCCATCACTGGCCACATCAGCCACTGTGCTGGGACCAATTTTTTCATCCCTTTTTTCGGCATTAAACTTGTGAAAGGATGGGTTTCCCTCTCCTTTGCACCATCTGGCTGAACTGAGGGAAACTGAGCCAGCAAGGCCCGTCCAGAGGCGGCGATGCTGGGGATGAGGTGGTGCCTTGGGAAGAGGAGCTGGGTGTGCCTGGCAGAGCTCGGGAGGTTGTGGGTGCAGCCCTGGGGGAGAAGAAACAGCTCACGGGTGGTGAAGCAACTCCCCTGAGAGCTGGTTTGTGCTGAGGAAGGTGGGAAACGGTGGATTCAGGGCTGGAGAGTAGAAATCCCATTTCTGCTGCAGTGCTGAGCTGTGCCACAGAACCGAGGCAGGAACTGGGGGTAGCAGTTAATGATGTCCTAAGAAAAGAGAGAACCTAGAACTTGGGAAGCTCCCCTGTTCCTTTAATGTTTCCAGATTGCACTTGTGAGTAGGAGATATGTCCCTCAACCATAACTTGGAGCTTGGTTTTACTTAGCAGAACTTTTCCCTGGGCGTAGTCCTGCAAGGATGTTGGCTACTCTTCTACTTATGTAATGTTTAAGACCATTTCTGTAAAAATCAAGTTCTTGGAAAGCTGTGATATTGAAGGAATATTGCAAAGTGTTTCTTACCTGCATGGTTAGTAAAATGTGGCAACTAAAGTCCTTTGAGAAATAGTAAAGCCATTGAAAACCAGACTTTACGTACAATTTTTGATTTGTCTGACTTTGGGCTTGTCCAGGAATTTTTGGGTGTTGAGCAATTGAAAGGAATTGTCAGAGAATTTGAATCCACACAGGTCCCAGATTTCACTAGAAGAGGATTTTAGTCAGAAATACTCAGTCTCTTGTGGGAGGGTGGTGCCAGGATGTGAGCCATATGTTGTACATTTAAAGAAATAGACACTCTTGATCAGCCTGGAACAGATACTTGAACTCAAAACCAGAAGAAGGAAAGGACACAAATTCAGAATATTTTATTTAGAAATGCATCTTTGTAAAGTTTATTTTGCATAGAGACTTTTGTTGTTGATCAGTAAGGATCTGGAAACAATTTCCTGTTAAGGTTTTACAGGCAGGGCTTGGTGCAAGGATGAGGGACAGGAACTGAAAACGGACCTGGGTCAGTTTGAACAGCAGCACTGTAGTGAATCCAGGCCTTGTATCAAATGGAACACTCAGTTTAACTGGTGTGAAACATTCTCCTGACAGCCGGAGAAGGCAGAGACTACACCAGGAGCACAGCAATAGCCCTCTGCCAAAGGAAAGCAGGAGGCCAAAAGAGACTCAAAGAACAGAAGTTCAGATTGCTGCTGTCACTGGTTCTGCTTTTCTTAGTACTTGAAGGTATTTGCAAGTGGCACCCTTATATATAATATTTTTAAAACCCACCTCCAAAGTCAAATATTCCTTTTACCTCACACTAGCTCTGAAGGCCTCTGCAGAAGGAGTGGAGCCCACTTTTGAAAGGTGGGAGAGTAGCAGTTTAAGCCCATTCATGATAAATCCACTTAGTTGCAACTTCAGGAGGTTTTGCACAAGACAGCTTGTTCTGTGATTACTGAATGAAGTGCCTTGGTGAGACCTCTGCCATGCAAAACATGGAGTGAGATGTGCTCACTGATGGAGGAGCAGGCTGGTGACGAGAATCATCTCCCTGACTGTGACTGACTCTGAGAGGAGACAGTTTAGTCCTCAGATTTACCCTTTTGTCCTGCAGAGAGCTGATACAGTGCCATGGCGAGGCATCTCTGCCACTGAGATGACATATCTGTGATGTTGAAATCTGTACAAGCATCATCCTTTCAGGGCTGTGCTTGGAACAGGGCTGAACTGAGAACTGAGTCAGAGCATTCAGCCAACACATGCAAACGTCCCTTAGGAAGAATTTCAGGCCTTGTTTTCCCAATGATGTTCATAAAAGTAGGATTGGTTCCATAAATCATGGGTAAACTCAAAACCTGAATAACAAAGTAATTGTAACTGGTTACACCCTGACTTCATCCACTGCAAGTGGCTTGTTTCTGTTACAGAGAGATTTTATGCCACAACCTTAAGAAATCATCAGAAAATACAGAGAAGTCAGGGATTAAACAAAATTAAGAAAATTTTCAGGATACTTTTCAGTAAAATAAATTTGTTGGCAAGCTGCATTGACACCTGACATTCTCTTTATTTAATGTATCTGGAAAATGTCATACATTGCAGTTCCCAATATGGCCTGAGAAGAAGTGTCAATAAGGCAGTTTTCAACAATATAATTTATTACATCTTCCTCTTCAGAGGTGCTTATATTGATGCCTGTTCTTTGAAATAGAAAGATCAGGCCCATGTTTAATGTAAGAACCAAGATTTAGTGCAGAGCTTAAGGTGGATGTTTTCCCAACTTCAGAGGAGTTATGGATACTGCTGAAATACTGTGTTATTGTTCTTAGCACAGGACCTGCTGGTGCAGTGTCACTCTTATTAAACCAATCACTTCATATCCAAAAAAGTCATTAGATGTACCTAAAACATTTATTGAGAGCAGTCAGAGCCAAACCCCAGGATTCCCAGCGATGGCTTTATTCCTTTGCCACCCAGCAGCAGTGCCAGAGTGCTGCTAAATTTCACTGAAACTGGTTAATGCTTCCCCATGTTTTTGTGATCACTATGTGTCTTGTTGCCAGCAAGCACACTTAGCCCTGGCCCTTCTTTTAGGGTAGAAACATGTAATTTTTGTTGGCCTTGGTACATCTTTGAATGTTCCTGTAGCCAGTGATGCCAAAGGAATTTCCCAAAGATAATGACAATGAACAATTGATACACAGGCAGGTGGGTTGGCTGTGCAAAAGAAAAGTGAGAGCTGTTATATGAGTGAGTAAATGTGTACCTGTCCTGTGGTTTAACGGAAGTTACAGCATTCCTTAGGTCGGTGGTCTTTTTATAAAATTTTTTTAATACTTGATAATTGAATTAAGAAATGAGTTCTTGAAAAGAAAACTTCTGAAAGACCCATCTGGACATGAAATAGTCCCTAAAGATATGCATATGGAGTATAAGCTCTCTGACTAGCAGAAACCACAGGTAACCACACCAGACAATCACAGCCATAAATATATCCCATACTATTTTGAAGTAGAACATCTTTAAGCACCTGAACAGTGAAATAGCTTTTGCAGCTTTTTTTAACCGAAGTGAAAGAAAAAAAAATCTTCTTCTGTGTCCAAATCATTGGGGAGAATGGATCAGAGGACCTGCCTGGGCATCAGGAGTGAGCAGGCAGAGCAGGTGTGGGCTCAGCACTCGCTGCCTCTGCTTGGGGCTGTCAGCTCAAACAGCTTCAGCCCCAGTTTGCGGTAACACAGTGACCCGTCCCCAGGGGCAGTGTGTAAATTAATAAGAACAGCTAATTCTTGAGAAATTAAAGTAAAATTCAGATTATTTGGATATTAAAAAAAATTGTTTGACAAGTTTCCTCTTTGTGCAGTATTTGTACAGGATCTCACTTTACCTTCAATGAGGATGTTTTCTGCTGCTGAGGTAGAGAAGAGTGTTGGTAGTAGAAGAGTTGAGTTGTTGAGCACAGGAATTCTCTGAACAGTTTTCCTTGGATAACTTTTTTCTATTTATGCAGGGTTTTGTTTGGGTTTTTTTTGGTTTTTTTTTTTTTTTCCTTTATTTCTTCACTGTGAAAACTGAAGATGCACAGCTGGTAACTGTGTTTGATTTATATTAGGAAACATGGGGGTAAGTTACTCCAGGAAAGACCAAATGGCTTCCTGTTTCAGCAGGACATTTCTTCTGCATTAAAAACACACCTCTGGCAGAGCCTGGCTCCTGGTCCTGAGCCTAGGCCTCGGTTCAGGTGAATGCCATGTATGCTCCATGCTCTAGATCAAGCAGGGAACAGCATTTAGGCCTTGTCACCAGTGTGGTTCTCCCCATCAAGGATGCCAGAGGTACGTGACTGGTGATTCAGAAGCTGACAAAGGAGGATATTGCATTTGCCAGCCTCGTGTAATTTTGAATATCACAGCACAGAGCTCAGAGCAGTAGGGTGCAAGTCCAACAGTTTCTACTGTAAGTTTGTGATTTTACCTGCTCAACATAATACTCATATTTAGATTCACATGTGGGAAGCAGCTGTTATTTACTGCACCATGTTTTAACAGTGCTGCAAAATCAGAAATCACTGTTCTACTTTTGGCTGACCCTTTATGTTTTCTTTTGCAGAGCCATAGCCCTGCCCCTCAGTGCCAAATTGGGTGTGAGAGACAAGCAGAGACCAAAAGCTCAGCCCAACCCCGTGCTGGAAACATTCTATAGCACACGCTGCAAGAACCCTAAAGAGGTGAGTCCCTTCTTCCTTTGCTTTCCTGTAGATTCAGTGTCTTTAGCCAAAGAAAATCCCATTTGGAATCCTGAGGTTTAGCAATGCCGTTCCTATGTGGAAGCTCAAGAAAGGGAGCACTGTGGCCCTGGTTAGCTCCAGGAGGGTCCTGCTGCCATTGATGCCATCAGCTCTGAGCAGTGGCAGCTCCTGTCCCTGCTCACCCACGCACAGCACAGGCTGCAGCACTGGGGGCTCTGCCTGAGCATCGGGGACACCTTCTCCCTGCCAGGGTGCCCAGAGGGCTGGGGAATTTATATCCTTGGGAAAACTCAAAGCTCTCTGGACATGCTCCTTGACACCTGGCTGCAGGCAGCTCCATTTGAGCAGGGCCCATTGGATGAGATGATTTCCATGGTCCCTTCCTGCCCCAGCCGTTCTGTGATGGCCTCTTTTCATACACCGGCAAATCCTGAAAACAGTCAGCTGCCTTGAGCTCCCACACTGCCAATCCCTGCAGCTCAGCCCTTGTGTCTTGCTTGATCTCCCAGTCCTAGACTGGGTCTGGGTTCTGTTGCCATGCAATCCCTGAGTTTGAGATTGGCCTTGCAAGAAGCCAAAGTCTTGGCCATCATCGCAGAGACTGGGAGAGGCTTCAGAAACCTGCAAACACAACTGGTGGGTAGTTTTCCCCTGAGGGGTAAGAAAAGTGTTTTTCAAGAAATTGGCAAGATGACCCAGAGTTATAATGGCTGCTGCTGATGGGAAAAACCACTATCAGGATTATGAATTGTCAGGCAATATTAGAATTCAGCCTGGTCAGGGAAGTCCCTGAGTGTGAACTCTGTCGTAGGGAAAGCAATCTGATTTTATTTCAGCTTGTTTTTGTAGACTTTCTCTTGGCCTCAAAGCAATAGCTGTGAACTCTTACAGAGGATGGGTGAGTAGGGTGCTCACCATGGGTTCCACTCCCAAGAAACAATCCTGCTCCAAACACATTGCTTCACCAAGGCTGTTGCAGCATGGTTTTGCTGCAGTGGGGCATGAGGAGCCCCAGGATATGCAGTACCAGGTTAGAAATAAAGGAGAAGAGGCTAAAATTAAAATGCAGGCATTGATCTGGGTAGTGCAGCCAGCCCATCTCTGCAGCAGTGGGAAGGAGTGTTCTGAGGGACACTTGTCAGTGGTTGACCTTCCTCTTGCCTTTCTGTCCCCAAAATCCAGGCATTTCTCAGTGTAACTGCTGCTATGTCAGAGATCTAACTCAAGGCCTGGCTTTGCCAGCAGGTTTTTCCTGTGGCTCTTCCTGCACCCCTGTTGCACTAAGCAGAGTCTGGGACCCTGGAACAGACCCTCACCATGGGACAGCAGCGTGAGGGGAAGCAGGAGCTGCTGCTCGGCTCTCTCCCCTGGCTGGGTGCACCTCAGCCAGTCTGCTGCTCCCTTCCCCTGCCATGAGCTCTCACACCACTGCTCAGAGGCAGCTTTTATTGTCCAGTACAATGTGAGACTTTGCAGTTCTTGGCAGCTATTTCTCGGGAGAATTCCACCTGATGGAGCAGTTAGAGAATGTAAATTAACATCTCCATTTGTCTCCACCTCCAGAAAAGGGCTCATAAAACAGCACATTTGAAAGCAGCATATCTGAAAATTGGTAGTCAACTTATTTTTGTACAGCATGCTTAAAGTATCTAGGCCAGTCTCACATGATACTAATTCAGGTAAATGCATTCCATGAAAAACTATTGCTTTACTTAAAAAATAAGGTTATCCATGATGACACCTCCTAGTAGGAATATAAAACATGACAAACTCTTGACAGCCTAAGGACTAGAGGGAAGGTAATTGCAGGATTTCTGTGAGTTATATATTGAAGAATTACCCCTAACAGGTTTACGGCAAGAGGAGAATATCCAGTAGGAAAATGATGTTTGTTGCCTCTGCTTATGACATCCACCATGCTACTGTGTCAGAATTGCTGAGAGGCGTGACAAGGTTCAGTGCAGAACCATAAAATAGGATTTAAGCTGCAGTGATCTTTATTGGAGTGACTGATTTTAAGGATTTGATCCCTGAAGACAGAGGGAGGAAGTGATTAGGCAACAAAATCATGTGAGGAGACAAGACCAGTTTAAAACTGGGGAAGTTAACATAAAAAATGAGAACTTTCAACATTAGTATTCATAACCAATCGATTAGAGGAGAATGGAAAGATTTTCTGCTATCCAAGATCTTTACACCGGGAGTGGACAGCTTTCAGAAAGATGCCTTGGCTTGAACAGACTTAGGCTGGCCAGGGGCTCCAGCTGGGCTCTGTGGTGGATCAGATGAGATAATGCCCTGCCTGACCTTTGAATCTGGATCTGAGCCTGCTGCCTCACCTCTTTTCCAGGGTGAGCTGCTCGGTTTAGCCAAGCAATGTGACCTGCCAGTGAGGAAGGTGGAGAAGTGGTTCCGGCACCGGAGGAACATGGACCGGCCCAGCCTGCCCAAGAAGTTCAGCGAGGCCTGGTGAGCAGGAGCACAAGCCATGAACTCAAGTTTTCATGGGAGCTGAGCTGCACAGACAGCTCACTGCCTCCTATTGAACCTTGCCCTCCATCCCTGTGCAGAGAGATCCCAGCTCCCTGTGTACCCTCCATCCCTCCACAGAGATCCCAGCTCCCTGTGTGCCCTCCATCCCTCCACAGAGATCCCAGTTCCCTGTGTACCCTCCATCCCTCCACACAGAGATCCCAGATCCCTGTGTGCCCTCCATCCCTACACAAAGATCCCAGCTCCCTGTGTGCCCTCCATCCCTCCCTGTGTGCCCTCCATCCCTACACACAGATCCCAGCTCCCTCCACAGAAAGCATCTTGGGTTTCCCTGACCCACTTGGCTCTGCTATTACTCTCTGCTGCTTCTCTGTTACAGAAGCATTTCTTGCTTTTCCCCCTTATTTGCAGTCCCAAATCTCCTTTTGCTGTTGTACCTTTACCCCTTGCAGGGCCCTTGTTTCTGACCTTTCCTGACTTTGTCACACTGGCATCCTGCTTTGACACACATTTGAACCTGAAAAACTCTCTGCTGTTTACATCTTAGTGCTTTGCTGTTGCTTCAGTTCCTACTATGAAGGCATCCTTTCTATTGCCTTCCCCATAGTTTCTCTTTCTGCATAGATTCCTTCTGCTGCACCTTTTCTGCAACTGTTTTGCACACTGTTGCTTTCAAAAGCTACAGGCAGCAGGCTGGATTGGATTCTGCTGTTGTTTTTCTTCAGCATCCTGAAAGTCACAAACCAGCATCCTTCCACGGGGGTGGAAGTTTGTGAGCAAAGAGCAAAAACTGCCTTGGAAACAGCTGTGTGGAAATCCTTCTTGTTATGTGGAGGCACAAAATAAATTTCAGGACAGACAGATTTGCATGTCAGTCCTGGCTCAGCTTTCCACAGAAAAGGAGGGCTCTCCACAGGTTGGTTGGAATGCCTCATTTGCAAGGGGCTGCTCTGCTATTTGTGTAAGGAATTGGGCTCTCCCCAGGAAAGCCACATAAGCAAAAGAAATCGTTAAATACCTGCAGCACTATCTATCTAAATAGTACTACACCTGGAGTTCATCTATCTAAAAGTGGGTATCTGTATCCATTGGGTAGGCATCAACTTTGGGCTCATCAGCATGTGCTCCGTTTAACCCTCCACCTGTAATTTGAAACCCCTGCATAAAAACCCTAATTCAAAAAGAAAAGGATGTGTATTATTTATTTCTAATATTCCATATAGTTACAAATATTTACAGAAACGGGGAATAAGGAGTTGTTTATTTATAAACAATGTTTATTCTCCCTCCATCTGGATGAAATATCAGCTCTCCCTGCACTTGTAGTAAATAGTAACAGTAAGTGGGAAACAGTAAATCCTTTTCTGCCTCAGCCCTCTGAGGATAGAGTCCTTCCCCTGGCCCTCTGTTGCCATGTGCAGTCTGTAGACAGAATGTCTCTCTGATGAGACACAGCAGCTTTACAGAGTTTATTTTTGTCTTGGAATTCCTGGGGCTTTCATTGACAGGTGGAGTCTCTCAAAATGCAGTTATGTCTGAATTGTTATGGAGATTTTTGGAAATTAAAGGACTAGTTTAGACAGTTTTACTCCTTTTCATATTTCCTGTGGTTCATTTATTAATAACTTGTTTATTCAGTTGGGCTGAATTCCCCCCATTCCTTACTATGTGTGTGAATATTTGGGTGACCTGCCTCTGTCCACTGAACTGGGCAAACAGTTTGTTGTATTTCTGTGTGGGTTTAATGTTGGAAAGTCATTTCTGGCTCCTCACTGGGCCAAACATGACAGTAATTAGTTACTGTACATGATAACAAATTTAGCAGGCTGGATCTCCAAAGGCCTAGGAGAGAGATTGGCATTGTTTCACTTTTGCAAATGCATCTGGTACTGCTGGGAAGCTTTGGGATTATTCTCCTCAGGATTTCAGTCAGCAAGATTCTTGTGTCGTCTGCCATCTCTACAGCAAAGGAATTGCTCTTTGTGAAGTCTGTGAAATGTGCTGGTAAAATGCAAAGAGCTGGTCCTGTTTTGGTCAAACCTTGAACATACTAACGTGTCTTTGCCTTAATAGTGTTATTCTTTTAATTAGTGTGAGGGTACACAGACTTGCAGCTCAGGGGTTAATGCATGGGATTCTAATGCCCTTTTTTTTTGTTTGTTTGTAGCTGGAGATTTACATTTTACATCATTTCTTTCTTCACTGGACTCGCTGTGCTGTATGATGTGAGTACACACGCAGTCACCTGCTGTTCTCCCCAGCCAATGCCTGCAGGAATGGCAGAGTTTGTTGTCAAACATGCTTTTTCAGATCTTCTTCTAGAGGTTTTCCATACAGGTTGTTGTGTATCCCCTGCATAGCACACTTAGGAGACCGCAGACATACTGGGCCATGCCTATTTTAAGGACTCCAGAACCAAGATGTTTCCTCTTCTTCTGGCAAAGCAGAAAGCAGTTGAGATTGTATAAAAGTAAATTTCTGTAGGGTAGAACACTTACCTAAGCTGGAAGCTGCAGGGCCTGTTTGTGTGTTGTACCCAATACCTCTTTAAGGCAAATAAATTTGGCTTCCTTTGGAGCATGGACTGCAATTTAATAATTTTATCTGCTAATTTTGTTTTCCTTACCCAGGATGTGATTGGTTGAGGCTCATGCCTCAGTCTTTTCTCTAATTTGATAAATAGTGAGTTCTCTTCATACAATTTGTACTGCCTCATCAGGCAGAAGTGTTAACAGGAGCCGTGGGTGTGCTCTTGTCCCTGAGCTGTGGTCACTGAGCTGGGACTGGGGCATTGGCCATCTGCTGCCTCTGTTTTCAAGGCTCCCCTGACTCTTTTGTTGTGCCTGGTTCCCTGGGTGAGATTTGCAAAAGTCTTCTGGTACAGTCTGATGAGTTAAGCGATGTAAAATGTGCACATTCCAAGGCAACAGGCACAAACTCTCCTTGTAACCTCTCATTGTAACACCTGAAGGACTTTTAATTTACACAGATTTTTAAGTCAGATTTTAAGGTACTCAAAAGTATGAGGAATAGAGGATGAGGTAGCTGAGGAGTGAAGGTATCTGAGCCCCAGCTGCAGTGTTCTGTGGATCTGTACATCAAAACAGAAGACTGTTCTTTGAGACCAGCTATTGAAATTCGGTCTGCGTGATCTACTTAGCATTGTACAAGAGCCCTATGGCAAGAAGGGACAAAATCATATTCTTCAGCATGTTGTCTGTCCATTATATGGATGAAATACCATTTTCACTTTTTGTGACCCATGTCTTTATTCAACACACATCTTACAATTTTCACAAAAAAGGGAGACATCCATCCTACAGATAGCACCTCTAGATCCTGTAGCAAATATATTATTCTGTTACCTAAATTGTACTAAAATGACTACTTTAAAAAGAGGGACAAAGAATTAACATGACAAGGCATATATACCTGTGAAATTTTCTGACTTTCACAGTTTATTTTGTAACCTGAGTAGCTTTTAAATGTGTGTTTGTTTTTGTGAAACTCCCTTCTTTCTTTAGAAAAAAATCAAATGTTTAAATTCTGCATTAGTAGTTTTAGACTGACAGCAAAAACCTCTGCATGTAAGTCAGTGAAACAGCCTGTAACAAAGGAAAGTTATCTTCCAGCAGGCCACTAGAAATCAGCTATGTTTGCTGAGAATAGAGGAATGATGAAATTCAGGGATCTGGAGTTCCTTTCTAGCTTAGGTAAACAGTATGCCATAGTTGTTTGGTAGTTTTTGCTTTGTGCTTTATGTGTTCTATATCACACATCTCTCCTGGTTCTGCACATGCATTCGCTGTAAATTCTATTCCCAGCCTCACTCTCAGTCAGCAGGAACCGTGTCTGTTCCAAATGACCACTGCACCTAAAACCACTGCCTCCTGCTTTGCCTCTGTATTGCCCACACACCAGCAGTGCTCAGTGGGAAGAAGCAATGCTGCCTTTTTCCCTGAGCTCTGATACCTGGAACCCTGTAGAACGTAAATTACCCCCATAGGTGTGAGGCATTGCTGTGTTCTGTGAGCTCTGACCCAGCCTGGGCACAGCTCCATGCAGGGAGGACTCTTGGGCACTGCAGTTGCCATGTTTCTGTGTTTCTGTGAAGGTTTCAAAACTGCTGAGTTCTAAACTACCAATTTTCTATTGAACAGAGTAGGATCTTTTCAGAGGTTCATTACTTAACAAACTGCAGCATAACCTTCACCGTTAAAGGAAAAAAACACATACCTGACACACCAGTTTTCAACGTTCTATCCACATTTAAGTGTTATTGTCTAAATCACAGGTATTCCTAATGAAATACTTGTAAGATTATTTTTAAATGCTCAGAACATCACCACCACCTCAAGCTTGTAGAAGATGGTAAGAAGTTGGGAGAAGTCTTCTCTGAGCTATTTTATTTGGAACAGTTAAATAGTGTGTGAGATTTCAGGCAAATAGCCACAATTTGGAAATGTCGCAGGCAGATGCAAGTCCTTGTAATTAAATCTCTTGGCAATTGGATTCCAGACAGTGAGACCAGCTCTGCCTGTAATAAAAGACAACAAAGTCTATGGTAGTAACAAACTAAAGGAATTAGACAACTGATAAGTAAAGAGCTCCTCTGATATTCTCACATACGTGTTGCATTTTTATTGCAGAAGCCTTGGCTTTGGGACCATAGAGAGTGCTGGACAGGATATCCAAAACAGGTGAGTCACACAAGAAGGAGAATTGCTGTTATCAGTCTTGTATTGTGTTTCTGTATTTTTTGAAAATCAAATTATAATAGTGACAAAAAGAGGACACTGAATTAAATTCAGACACAGAAGACCTAAGAATTCAAAGTCAGACCCTCATCTGGAGAGAACATCTTTGTACCTGGTCTCATCTAATGCAAGAGAAGATGAATTGGCAGAGCACTTTGTCACTACCAAGAGAAAATGAAGACTTTTGTTCCAGGGGTTTTGTCTGACAGTCAAAGCTAGAGCAAGACCCCTTGACTGTATGTGGAGGGTGCAAACCCATAAAGAGAAAAGTAATGCCCAATTCTAACAGCATGAGGCACAGGAAATGTAATGGGACCAATGACTGAAGAGTGAGGCAATGCGTTGGAGGATGAGTCTCTGAACAATCCAGTATTGCATGAAGACAAAAATTTTAGGGGCAAGTCTGTAGTTCTGTGTAAAAATTAAACCATACAAACAAGTGGGGCTTGAATAGCAATGTAAGACTGCAAGGATCACTTGGCTCCCTCTGTCTCCTGCTCTGTACATTGTGATCTATGTCTTGTCAAAACAATGGGAGCCTCCATAAGGGCACACTGTGATGGACTGACCCTGGCTGGCCACAGTGTGCCCACCAAGCCTATTTTTCACTCCCCTCCTCAAATGGAAAGGGGGGAGAAAATATAGAAGAGGCTCATGGGTTGAAATAAAGACAGGGAGAGAGCATACCCAGTTGCCATCAAAGGTAAAACAGGCTTGACTTGGGGAAAAATTATTTTAATTAACTGTTAGTGAAATAAGAGTAGTTTAATAAGAAATAAACCCAAATCTTAAAAGCACCTTCCTGCACCCTTCCCTTCTTCCTGGGCTTAACTTCACCCCCACATTCTCCACCACCTCCCCTGCAGTGGTGCAGTGAGATGTGGAATGGGGGTTGTGGTCAGTCCATCACACCTTGTCTCTGCTGCTCCTTCCTCCTGTTCTGGAGCGGGGTTCTCCAGCAGGAGACAGCTCTCCATGAACCTCTCCACTGTGGTCCTTCCCACAGGATGGGAAAGGACCATCCTGGGTCCAGCACAGGTCCACAGGTGCTGCCAAGAGCCTGCCACAGCACAAGGTCTCCACAGGCTCAGAGCTTCCTTAGGCCACGTCCCCCTGCTCTAGTCAGGGGTCCTTCAGGGACTGCAGGTGGATTTCTGCTCCCTGTGGACCTCCATGGGCTGCAGGGCACAGCCTGTATCACCATGGTTGCTGGGGAGTCTCTGCTCCACCACCACCACCACCACCTCTTCCTCCTCCTCTTCCTCCTCCTCTTCCTCCTCCTCTTCCTCTTCCTCCTCCTCTTCCTCTTCTTCCTCTTCCTCTTCCTCCTCTTCCTCTTCCTCCTCCTCTTCCTCTTCCTCCTCCTCCTCCTCTTCCTCTTCCTCCTCCTCCTCTTCCTCTTCCTCTTCCTCCTCCTCCTCCTCCTCCTCCTCCTCCTCCTCCTCTTCCTCCTCCTCCTCCTCCTCCTCTTCCTCCTCCTCCTCCTCCTCCTCATCCTCCTCCTCATCCTCCTCCTCATCCTCCTCCTCATCCTCCTCATCCTCCTCCTCATCCTCATCCTCTGACCTGAGGGTCTACAGAGCTGTATCTCATATTCTCACTCCTCTCTCCACACCACTCTTGCCCAGCAGTTTTTTCCATTTTTAAAAGCATCGTCCTTGAGCTGCTGGCACTATCATTCATGGAGCCAGTGGCAGATCCATCTTGGAGGTGTTTGGAGATGGCTCTGTTGGACAGGGGGCAGCTTCTGGCATGTCACAGAAGCCACCCCTGCCCCCACCCCTCTAGCAAAACCTTTCCATGTAAATCCAGTGCACACTCATTTTCCAACATTTGTAACAACCAGAAAAGACCAAAACCAGGGTTGGGCATGTCCCACTTGCAAAAAGCAAGTCAAGGACAAACCTGTGTATTAGCAGGAACAACAAATGTATTAATCACAATTTCTACTAAACAGACCATGCCATGTGCTACAGACAATGACAAAAGAAACACCAGTTCTCCCAGATAGTCAGATCTTTGGGGGAAAAAAATAGCTTCTGATCCAGAGCTCCTGTTTGGATAACCTGGAGTGTGACCAGCACATACCAGCTCGGGAGATGTTCATATCCTCCCTGGAAGCCCCAGGGCATCCAGCTGTGCTTCCTCTTGTGGCCAACTGCTGCTGCTACAAAGGAAAACAAACTAAAATTTATGAAGGCCATAAATAACCAGTTGGTATTAGGGAGCATGATACTTCATGCTCCTTTGAAAATGGTTGCAAAGCCACTTTGTTAATAGCAATTATTAATCAAATAGATTCAGGTTTAAGGAGGTCATATAATGCAACAACAGCAAAAATTGCTTGTTAAGTAACAAAATCTTGCTGTTTGGGTCTAAGCTTTCTGTTTCCCAACTCTAAAAGCCCAGATACTTTGCCCAAAAGAATGTGAATTACATTTCCTGCTGGGGTTGGATTTTCCCCCCATTAGTTTGATTAAACTGGAAAATTTGTGACAGAGTGCAGGGTATCTGAAGCATCTTCAAGCCTAAAAAGGGAATGGTTTATTCAGCTACTCCTTCTCCACCATAATGAATTGGTTTATGTAGTTTTTAAAACTCTGTACTGTCTGCTCAGGAATCTCAATAATGTTGAAGAAATCCTAAAAATATTCACAGTCTTCATGGTGGTTCCCTAAATGTTTGACATGGTGTGGTAAAGTTGAATTTCCCCTGCTGTTTGATTTAATCTTGGCACAGATGACATTTAGTGAGTGTGTTGTTCAGTTGAACTGTTTCCCTCTGTAGCTGCGGGAGCCTGCTTTGTTGATTTGGTTGTAATATTGGGGTTTTGGTGCCTGCTTTTGGTAGCAGGGGGCTACAGAGGTGGCTTCTGTAAGAAGTTGCCAGAATCCTCGTCCATGTCCAGCAGAGCCAATCCCTGGTGGCTCCAAGTTGAACATGCCACTGGCCAAGGCTGGGCCAATTACAAATAGTGGTAACACCTCTGTGATAACAGATTTTAAAAGAAAGGAAAAAAAAAAAAAGAAAAAGTTATTGCACAGTTGTACTTGCAGCCAGAGAAGAGCAGGCTGAGAAATGGGAGAGGAGCAGCTCTGCAGACACCAAGGTCAGTGGACAAGGAGGGATAAGAGGTGCTCCAGGCACCAGAGCTGAGGTTCCTCTGCAGGCTGTGCTGAGGACCAGGGTGAAGCAGCTGTGCCCCTGCAGCTCCTGGGGATCCATGGGGATGCAGAGATCCCCCACAGCCTGTGGGGATCCACAGGGGATGCGGGGATCCACCCACAGCCTGTGGGGATCCATGGGCGATGCAGAGATCCAACCACAGCCTGTGGGGATCCATGGGGATGCAGAGATCCCCCACAGCCTGTGGGGATCCATGGGGATGCAGAGATCCCCCACAGCCTGTGGGGATCCATGGGGATGCAGAGATCCCCCACAGCCCGTGGGGATCCATGGGGATGCAGAGATCCACCCACAGCCTGTGGGGATCCATGGGAGATGCAGAGATCCACCCACAGCCTGTGGGGATCCATGGGGATGCAGAGATCCCCCACAGCCTGTGGGGATCCATGGGGATGCAGAGATCCCCCACAGCCCGTGGGGATCCATGGGGATGCAGAGATCCACCCACAGCCTGTGGGGATCCATGGGGGTGCAGAGATCCCCCACAGCCCCTGGGGATCCATGGGGATGCAGAGATCCACCCACAGCCCATGGGGACCCACAGGGGATGCAGAGATCCCCCACAACCTGTGGGGATCCACCCATAGCCCATGGGGATCCATGGGGATGAGAGATGCCCCCACAGCCTGTGGAAGAGGAGCCCACAGCCGAGCAGGGGGATGCCTGAGGAGGCTGTGGGCCCGTGGGAGGCCCATGGGGAGAGGAGCCCTGCCCCTGTGCTGCAGCAGCCTGTCCTTGAGGGACTGCACCCCACGGAAGGGTGACCCACGCCGCAGCAGTTTGGGAAGGACTGTTCTCCATGGGATGAGCTTATGTTGTGCCAGTTCACAGAGAGCTGTTGCCTGTGGGATGGACTCACACTGGAGAGGTTAATGAAGAATTGTTTCCCATGGGAGGGACCCCACAGTGCAGCAGGGAAAGCATTCCTCTCCCTGAGCAGCAGGAGAAGCCGTGGGTGATGAACTGACCATAACCCCCATTCCCATGTCCTTGCATCACTGGGGTTTGAGGTAGAGCTGGGAAGGAGGGAAGGGCAGGGGGAAAGGTGTTTCTAAGGGTTTATTTCACTTCTCATGATCATGTTGGTGATTTTGTTAGCAATTAACTTAATTCATATCTCTAATTAGAGTCTGCTTTGCCCATGACTATATTTGATGAGCAATCTGTCCTGGTCCTTATGTCAACTCATGAACCTTTTGTTATATTTTCTCTCCTCTGTCCAGCTGTGCAGGGGAGTGACAGAGTGGCTTTGGTGGCTGCCTGGTGTCCAGTCAGCATCAACCCACTACAGTTGTCTTTTGCCTTGGAAGGAGTTTTCACTTGCAGCCCCTGCACTAATGTATCTGATGGGTGTTTCCCTGTCTCTCCCTCTCTCACAGCCTCTCCAGCCCTCCCTGTTCTGGTACTACATGCTGGAGCTCTCCTTCTACTGGTCACTGGTATTCACCTTGCCCTTTGACGTGAAGAGGAAGGTGAGTGGCAGTCTCAGGGGAGAATCAAGTACAACCAGGACTCAAGCTGAACACTTAGAGTGATCTCAAAGGGCGTGTACAGTGACAGTCAAGGTTTTGTGGCAGTCTCTCCTTGCTCATTCACAGGCATTTTCATTACCGCTCATTGGAAGTGGAGAAACCAGCCCTGATATAGAAAGGTGCAAAGTACTACAGAGTTCTCAATCCAAACTTAAAATCCAAAAATAAAAATTGCTCTTTTGTAACTCTTCTAGGCTGCACTGATCATAGAGATGGGAAAAGAGGGGGTTCTCTGCCAGTAAAGCTGCTTGTGTTCCTGGTGCCAGTGTCCCAACAGACTGGGTGCAGCATCAGGCCATGGCAGGTGGAGGGAAAGAATGTTCTTTGTTGTGAGATCCTCAGTTTACACCACAAGCTCTTCATTCCTGGGTCTCTTGGTTGCCCACATTTCTAGATTACATTTGGTAAAATAATTATGTGGGTAAGACTTTGTAGAGGGATGTTTCTTAGTCACTAGGTAGAGAGGTATTGCTACCTGCAGGAACCACGTTTAGACTGGGGCAGGAGGTGCATTATGTGTTTTATTCTCTGCTGTTCCCCTTCTCATCAGGATTTCAAGGAGCAGATAGTCCATCATGCTGCAACCATCTTCCTGATCAGTTTTTCATACTGTGCCAACTACATCCGCATTGGGACACTGGTGATGGTGATTCATGATGCTTCTGATTGCTTCCTAGAGGTGAGCCAGGCAGAGCCTCATCAGCAATGGTGCTCTTCAGTCACAGAATGTCCTTCTGTCTAACACAGGCCAAGCCCTGGGGTGTTCCTCAGATCCTCTGCTGCTCTGCTGACCCAGCCAAGGGTGCCCAGCTGAGAGCTGTGGTTACCTGCATGCAGATTGTGTCACACATGTCTCATTAACCTCCTGGAGTGTGTGCAGATGCTGTCTTGGCTGCTGTTTAATTGTTCTTTCTCCTTCCAGCCAACTAAGATATTCAATTACATGAAGTGGAAAAGAACTTGTGACAGCCTCTTTATGATCTTCTCTGCTGTCTTCCTGATCAGCCGCCTGGTCATTTACCCCTACACGTGAGTCTGCTCGTGAGGGGACAGGGAGGAGCTGCCTCCTGGGAGACAGCAGGATTATCTGGGGCTGCAGCCTTTGGTGTTTGTCCTGGAGCATGGGTTTGCCCCTTTGCACCTGCCTTGGGGTAAAAAGGCTGCTCTTTGGGTTCATGGAGCAGTCCTGGAGCCCTGGCTCCATCCCATGTACTTCAGGTGGGGAACTGAGAGCTGGGATAGGTAAAGATGGAAAGGCTGATCTGAAACTTCCTCTGTGACTACAAATTTCTGGGGCTTAATTGTGGCCCTGTTAACCACATGCTTTCCCTCCATTGCAATCCCCTCTGTTTTGCAGAGTGCTTTATAACACCTACTATTACTCCATGGAGATATTCCAGCCCTTCTTTGGATACTACTTTGTGAATGTTCTCCTGATGATTCTGCAGCTGCTCCACGTCTTCTGGTCCTGCCTAATTATTCACATGGTCTACAAGTTCATCCTCCAGGGCACGGTATGCATCAGTTTGCACTGTCCTTTACATCACATGGGGAGGGAGGGTCCACCTAGACTGCTTGAGAATACAGGGATCCCTCTGGCATGGATTCCTTATTGTTCTATTGAAATTATATATGCATATTTCCAACAGTGAGGTAGAAGGAAACTCAATTGTATTAGGGAAAGTTGACCGAAAAATTTTTTATGAATCACAATATTGGGTCCACTTCTGATGCTTCTATTCAACAAAAATATGGATTTGACTCCAGGAGAGATGTCTGTGAACAATGCCAGTGACATCTGGGTAAAAATCCCAACACGTTGTGCAGTGTGATTTGCATTTGTAACAAGACTAAGAAATCAAGGAAGAGGAAATTGTCATGACTGGTGAGGTCGGTGTAAAAGTGTTTCCCTTATTGTACAGGATTTTTGAATGCAATTTCACACAGTAGGTATTTCTGTCTAAACTAGCTGCCTGGGCTCTTCTTCCAGCAGTGGAAGGCAACAGGCATGCCCAAATTATGATCCATTCCATACTTCACCTGACAGTGCTGCTCAACAGGCACAAAGCAACCAGAGATGAGTTTCTGAGCTCCAGCTGTATAAACTGGAATGGAATGCATCCCACATCCCACTCTGTCTGGCCTGTAGTATTTGCTGTGAGACCAAAGTGCTGCTCAGCATGTTCCCAAAATCAAAGCCATGGCTGGCCACGTGCCAAGGATGCCGTCCAAAGGCAACCAGTCAGTGCCCTGTGGGAAGTGACCTCAGAGCCCAGGATGATTTGTTTTATTAGTATCCAACTGAGGAATTTTGTCTTACAGGAACTGAGAGCAATCATTAAAGGCTCCTCTTTATCCTGATTGTCCCCATTTTCTTTATCTGCCTTCCCTTAAGGTAGCACAGAGCAAATTACTTGCAGATCAGGAAACAGGGCTGGAAATGAAGATACAACTGAATACAGCCTTTTATTGTTTTCCTAGTTTTTGTGTGGGCTGAATTACCACTGCTGTTACTGTAGTGTAAAATGATGAGGTAATAAATAGTCTTATTAGAAAGTAAGGAACCATCAGGGAAGAAAATCCTGAAGCATATCCAGAATTTTTCCTATTTTATCTAAAATGGATATGCCAGATTTGATATAAAAATATATTTGAAAACTTTCTGTACTGAGCAGCAAAAAGCAAAAAAGAATTGTCCTAAAGAGATCCGTTTCAATGACAATATTTTGTAGCCCAAAGCAATATCAGCAAGAATACAGGACATTCTCTCTTTGAGAGCTACAAAACTTTTGCTGCAATCAGTTCATGTTCTTCTTGCAGGCCTTTCTGGTCCCCACGGTTTTCCTCTCTGGCTACAGAATAATCTTTACCACCTTCTCACATGATGTTTCCTAATCCCAAGTAATTAGTACTCAGCCTAGATCCTGAAGTACAAGTTTCATTCCCTCTCAGAGGGAGCAGCTTTATAGTTCCTTTGGGAATCTTGCCAGATTTAAGGCCTCAGCCACATTCTCTGGCTATAAATGGATATATTTAGAAATATTGACTATTATTTGTCCTTATGCTGCAGGTCCAGACTCCTGCATGTTTCCTGATCTGTCAGTTCCAGAGTGATCCAAGGTGCAGGTTGTTCATAGCAGATCCTATCTCTCACCCATATTGTCCTTGGAGGTAGAATGAATTCAGTGCAAATTTAGATTTTTACAAATCCTGTCTGCATCTGGTTGTAGTGATCTCTGGAAAGAGCATGAGCTGAAATAGAGTTCTCAGTATGATCTGGGAGATCTCAAGAAGAATGGACAGCCATAAATGGAGACTAAATTTCTGGGCAGCCCCTGATTTTCCCCTGAGCAGTTTCTAAAGCTGAGGTCACAGAAGGGATTTGCAGCTTTCCCTCTGTCCGACAAGGAGTGTGACACTGTGAATTTGTCCCCAATATTGGCATCTTATATGGCAGAGTAGAGACAGCCTGAGAAGCCAGGAAGTGCTGAGCGGCTTTTTTCTAAGCTGTCATTTTATCCCATTATTTCTTTTTTGCCTCCCTTTTAAGGCAGATAATTAAATACTTAGGAGTGGATTACAGGTTTTTCAGTCAATAAACAACAAGAGGAAAAACCTGACCATAAACCTGAATGCAGTCAGAGTGGAGTGGCTTTGTGTTGAGCCTTTGGGAAGCATGTTTCCAGCCTGTCCCCAGTGTTGTCAGCCTGCAGCCACCCAGGCCATGTAGGCACAAGTCAGCTCCTTGTCCCTTTTGGAAAGTGTAATCGAGCTTGACTCACTGCCTCCCCATCCTTCTCCCTCCTGCCAATGACCAGGGCAGCAACGTGGATCTCCTCAGGCTTGCACAGTTGTCCTCAGTCCTGGGCATTTGTGGTTTTGCCCTGCTTCGCAGCCTGTAATTCCTAATTTCAGGAATTATGTGTATCAGGGTCACAGATGAGATTCCAGTGAGGCTGAAAGCAAAGAGGCAGGGAGAATCTGCTCCCAAGGGTCATGTGAAGGCTGCAGGGAGCTGAGGCAGCAGGGGCATGGTCAGCCTGTGGCTCAGCCATCACTGCTGCTTGTGCAAATGCTCTGTTTATCTGGCTTCTCACCTCACTCACCTGCCTTTGTAGATGGACAAGGACATGAGAAGTGACACAGAAGAAAGTGACAAGGATGAAGAAAGAGATAAAATTAGAGAAAAGGAGAAAAATGGGATCACGTGTTTCAGCAACGTCACAAGCAATGGTTACATCCAGAGGAATGGATCTCAGCCCCTGGACAACAGAGCCCACCGTGCCAATGGCCATGCCAAGGAAAGATAGCTGCTGTCCTGTGATGCTGGCCTGGCCTCCAGCCACCCCAGGCCACCATCTGTAGAAACAGTTTTGCTCACTGTGTAGATAAACTGGAGTGCAATTGCAGTATTGTAGCTGAATTCCTGCTTCCCATAAACCAAAGTGTTTATAGCCAATGGATATTTGCAGGAAGTTTTTTGTCTTCCTTCAGTAAAAGCTTACTATAGATTGTAGCCTCAAAACAGATAGCAAGGGATCAAAGTGGTTTGACTTGTATTAAGACTGCACCGTAATTGTTGTCAAATGTGTTAATCTTGAAAAATACTTTAAAAATAAGAAGGTGGATAAACTCTGGCAGTGTAAAGTTTTACCCACCTAATGTTTGATAGGAATCTGTTTGGCCTGGATCAGCCTCTGGAGGCCCTGGCCTATTGCCAGTAATTATTATGGCTGACGAGTGACAAATCTTATCACTGGGATACCCCTTGAGAAAGCAGGTGCCCTGTATGCACTCACAAAATTAAAACTGAGTACAGTGAAATGAAAGCTTTTGAAAGGCATAAGATAAAACATGCTCTTCTCAGGGGAGGTAGTCTTTGTGCCAGTGACCAGTTCTGTAATGTGTGGATCTCAGTCCCTTCTTACTGCCCCTAAGCTCCAAAGCCCAGGCTGGAGGAGTACCCACACAAATCACATTGGAAGAGCTGGGAAGTCCAGACAGCTGTTTCTCAACACTTAGAATTGGACTCAATGATCCTTGTGCGTCCCTTCCAACACATAAAATTCTGTAATTCTGTGACAATTGAAAGTTGGAAGCACATGTTGTGTTTGCTGTGATCTGAGCGTATGGTCCCACCTCTCTGCAGGTGCTGTGCTCAGGAGGAATATTGAAATGCTACATCATTTTGTACTACTGAATGTAAATGTTCTTTATAAATTACTTTAAAAGGTTTGATCGTCTGGTCTCTTTTCTACTTCTTTAGCCACCAGGAGTAAACCTGGCTGGCTGCAGGCGGATGTGTGATGGGGGAGACCCACGTGGGTGCCATTGGCAAGGGGAAGGTGCAGCCTGCCCAGGACACACAGCCACACTGAGCCGTGCCAGTGAAGACCTGCAGCTGCCACCTTTGTCTCCTGTTAGTAAGACTGTGTTTGGCCCTGTAACAAGGGACAATTTGGAACACCCCTACACTAGACTTAGGGGCAGGCCAGGTTACTTGGTACTGCCAGGACAATGGCAAGTCCAAGATGGCAACACTGGGGAGGTGCTTTGGCCTTGCAAGGGTGGGAGGAGAGAAATTAATATCTATTCTTTTTTTATGAGGTTTTAGGAGGCTAGGAAAGTTCCCTGTTGTAAAATCACATCACCTCTCCTCCTAGGAGCAGAATGCTTCCCAGAGTTTGCATAATGCCCAATGGAGCCAGTGTATGTTAATGCCTGCTGGATTTGACCCTCAGGGCTTTGTTGTGTCCCTGAAGATTGAGATAAGCTTGTTAGGAGGCAAATCTGGTTCTTATGAAAGACACATCAAAGATACAGGAGAGCTGTTGGGTTTGAGCAAGAATTACTGAGTGCTGCCTTTAGCTGAGCATAACAGTCATGACTCATTGAGGCAGATCAGCTAGTGAATTTGTTTTCTTGCCATCAACTTGCTAAGGCTTGAAGAAGCATTCAGCTCCCTCCCTGCTTCTCCACCTTCTCTCTTTATGTTTGCTCCAGGGCTGGGAAGCTTCTGAGTAGTGTGACAGTGTTTAAGGCTTTAGTGTATCCATCCCCTTCTCTCTTCACACAGGAGGCATCACAGCTTCCCCCACAGAACAGCTGTTGTAGAAAACTTGCAGCTGGCCTGTCACTTGTCTGCTGAGAAACCCAGCAGAGCATATCATGGAACCACCAAATCCATTAGATTGGGGAAGGCCTCTGAGATCATCAAGTACAGCCTGTGACCAGTCACCACTTTGTCAATCAGAGCAGAGTCCAATCACTTCTTAATTACTTCCAGGGACGGAGACTCCACCACCTCCCTGGGCAACCCATTCCAATGTTTAACAACCCCTCCCATGAAAAAATTCTTCTTGATGTCCAACCCATACCTCTCCTGGCATGGCTTGAGTCCATTTGCTCTGCTCCTGTCACCCTAACTCCTACCTGGCTGCACCCTCCTGTTAGGGAGCTGTAGAGAGAAGATCACCCTGAGCCTCCAGGGTGAGCCCCCCCAGCTCCCTCAGCTTCTCCTCACAGGACTCACTCTCTAAAGGAGAGTTCTGTTTCCAGATGGAGCCCTGGGCACCAAGCAGGGCCTGACTCTCTTTTCCCCATGCTTTTATCCCCCATATGCACTGATGAGATGTGCATCACAAACTCTGTGCCCACATGATGTTAGTGAGCAGCTGTGGGAGACGAGGCATGCAGCTCCAGGTGAGCCATGAGAAAAGGAGCATATATAGATGCTTCCAGGCTGCTGGGAGGTGGGTGAGTCAAGGCTGGCACAGTGGGGCCGCCAGGCTGCCCTAGCCCAAAATTATGGCTGACGTGAATCTGCTGACTCCAGGAATCGTGGACATCTGCTGCCATTTTGGATCTTGTTTTAAGAATAATTTGGCACGGTTGTTTCCTTCTTCCTGCACACAGTAAATTTCCAAGATCTCCATTATCATGTTATTTCACATTATTTCATTCGTAAATGTATGCCCAAGGGAACCTTTTCTTGGATGGCTGCACTTGGAACAGCATTGCTTTTCTCATTCTCACAGGTACAGCTGACACAGTGCCTGCAAATAAAGACAAGGCCTTGTTCAAAAAGCTGAAGTTGTGTCTAAACAAGGGAAGGGACCTATAACTTTGTCAGATGAATGTAAGCATGTGATAAAGCAGGCCAAGAAATATCCTGAGAAACAACTTGAAAGGCAGTATGAAACATTGGCAAGATGGCTGGATTCAGAAATGATGGTGCTAGACAGCAGCAACACAGAGATAGGTCAGGCTAGAGCCAAGAAATGCAGTGAGCTGCCCTGTGTGGCTCCCCAGCTGAGAGAGAGGGTTCAATAACCGGTTCAATACCTGACATCTCACTGAGAACATACTGCAAGAGCATCCACTTCAAGCCAACAGGGGAGAAAATGTCACCTAGCACACAGATTACCTGAGTAACAGCAAACCCTCAAACCCACTGGCAGGAGGAAAATTTGTTCTTAGAGGAGTTCAACTACCAACTGTGGAGTGCTGTTCTTTGTTTCAAATCAACTTGTTATCAGAAAAATTTAAGAAGGTTCCAGTGGGAATGTAAGAAACTTCAGCCTTCTATAGTCTGACATGAAGATTGGTCAGAGCAGGAGAAAGTATTATATGTGATAGAATATTTGGAAACAGATATGAACATAATAGGAAAGAGTCCCCAAGGGGCAGGATGTCTGTGGGGAAGTTTTCTCACTCTGCTGGAGTTACCCCAAAAAATTGGTGAGCACATCTAGTGGAGAGAACCTGCGCCCTGCTCAGCTTTGCAAAGGCATTCAGAAAGGTCCCTCACCATCCTGGTGAGGAAACCCACCTGAGCTGATTGTGAGAGACCAACACTGGTTGTTTGCAACTGTGTATTGCTGCAGGTGCCCCCAAAAAGGGGGAGGGAAAGGCAAAGAGCAAAATCAGCTGATAATGAAGGTTCTTCATGATGGTGTTGCATGTTGTCTGCTGCAGTTCACATCACAGAGACTGACAGAACACAGGTGAGGCTGAGTGGAGCAGAGGAATTGGTGCAGGAGAAAGGGTGTCCTGAGGGGCTGGTCTGTGTGTGAGCACTCCAGAACCGCACTGGGGAGCAGCGCCTCAGCTTTGTGCTCAGTACATGAGGATTCAAAACGCAAACAGGATATGGGATGTCACTGGACAGGATGAAGGAACCAAAACTGGGACTGCTGGGGCCTTGAAGATGCCAGAAGATTTTAATGGATGTACCGTCTCCCCTGGGACCTCCATCCCCACACTCTGCTGGGTGTCAGAGCTGATTAAGAGATGAGGGCTTTGCAGAATGAGAAGGAAAGAAAGAGGGGGCAAGAGAGATGACTCTGCTGATAGTGTCACCAGGGAGTGTCACCTGTGAAACAGAGTGAAATTGAAATCAGCCACCTCCTTGACACTCTCATGTACTAGGACATCCTACCCCACCTCCAAGCTCACAGACACATCAAAACAAGTGATGATATTTCAACTGGTCTGACATTCTCATGGGATTGGGCAAGAGGCTGGGACCGTGAGTGATGAGCTGTTGAGCTGGGAATCCTGATTTAGCAGTGAGCTTTGTGCCTTACTAATACCTGCGTGCTGCAGGCAGCCTCTGGTTTCTGTGCCCACTGTCTTGACCAGAATGGGAGTGTCAGAGGGGTTCTGGCACCATGAATACTGCCTGCCACCTGGAGCTATCTGGGAGGACTTGAAGGAGTCTGCAGACATACAGTACCCACAGCCTCAGCACCTCCTGCTCTGCATCCCTGGTGCCCCATTATTGATCTTTGTCTGATGCACCTTTGAAAGGTGAGTGCAGCACCTCTGGTTTCTCCTGTGCTGATTGTCACCAGTGTTTTGCAGGGCTGCTCCAGAATAATCCTTGCCTGCCTCCTGACCACTACAAAGTGTACATGGGATTGTCCCCAAGAATAATGAATCTCTCTGCTTTTCATACCATATGGTATTTGTATGGTAGGGCAGCTCTCTCCCCTGCCCTCCCTTTCTCCTGTACCTGTAGGTGTGAAAAGACAAGTCAATCTCTCAATCACACCTTAGCTGTGGGTGGGTCCCTCTGGAGACAGTCCAAGGCAGATAAGGCAGCTTGCAGCACAGATAAGGGATTTAGTGGGTATGTCAGTGCTGGAAGCCCCTAGCTGAGCCAGGGTTCAGCCTGATCCTGGAGGATGCTCCTGAAGGTGCCATGTGAGCTCCCTACCCCAGAGCCCCTGCAGCTGCAGTGACCTCTTTGCTCACACCACTCTTTGCCCAGCTCTGCCTCACTTTCTCCTCCTGGCACCAGAGGACCCCAGTTCTGCCTGGGGTGATGATCCACTCCAGGGTCCCAGCTGCAGGCTTGTCACCCCAGGGAGCCTGAGGACAGGTTAGCATCTCCCCAGAACTTGGCTGTGGAAATGAGGCAGATCCACATTGCTCACCCCATGAGATGGATTCAGAGAGGGCTTTGAGCCCCTTTTTCAGGAACAAGGACTGACATGTGGGGAGGTGCAGATCAGCCCTCACGCTCAGAAAATTGGAAGCTGGTCAGTTAAAGCAGGGCTGTGTGCCCCTGTGGGCAGAACTGCCAGCATGCTTCCCACCAGGCACAGCAGGACTCCAGGGGGAAAAGGGGAGGACATGAAGTATCAAAGCTGTGGTCAGCAAACCTGCCCTAAGCTGGTACAGAGGGTCTCTCACTGACCCATCTGCCCCAGGTGCTGGCTCCTGCCTGCAGTGCACAGCCATGTAAGAAGATGAGGCAGATGAGAGCTGTAGGAAGAGTCAGAGTTAATTCCAGGGTCATCAGGTCTTCCCTCAAAGAAGGGAAGGCATGTTGCACCTGCCTGGCTTCCTAGAAACAACATGATTTAGGACACAATGCCTCCCCCTAGAGCTTTGCTGGGGTTTCCTGCAGGAACCAGCATATTCCCATGTGTTCTGTCCTTGGCTCCTGCTGCAGACAGTGGTCAGGTACCCTAGACACAGAGCCCATGGGACACTCAGACACTTGCAGACTGTTTTTGTGGCATCCTCTGGACTGCTCAGGAGCGCAGTAAGGAGGGCCAGCATATACTCCAACACAGAGGCATGCTCTGTGTCCTGTTGTCTCAGCAAACTTAACTATTGCTTATTTAGCCATCATTACGGTTGTCTCCACTCTACCTTTGCTTTGGTGCCATTGTGC